CTCGGACTTGAGTGCCGAGACAATCCGAGAAGATGGGACTGAGTCCTCGTTCATGAGAGCCGACACACAGGGTAACCAGTCGTCGGTGAGGGACGTAAGGAGAGCGGTGGAGTAGATGTCGTCGGGCGTCAAGGGTTTGTCGACCGTCACGAGCGAGTTGAGACGCTCGGCACAGACCGCCATCGACTCGATGTGCGCTTCGATGTCGTCTCCCACTAGGCGAGAGACAACTAACTTGCGGAGCCAGTGCATTCGTCCACCGGACGAAAAGTCTTGATGCGCCTCGGACAACGAGGACCACATGGCGGCGGCGTCGGAACCATGGGCTCGGATGAAGCGAAGGTTGGACGGATGAATTGTCCGAGCGATGAATGACGAGACCGCGACACTATCACGGAGGTAAGCCGCCGTTCGATCTTCCACGGCGACGGTGTTCAGTACATAGGCGAGGTTAAGCGATTGAAGGTGCAAGAGCACCACGAAACTCCAATCCAAGTAGTTGGATTCGGAGCCTTGGGACTTGAGTTGAACGATACCGGAGACCTTAAGACTCGAGGTATCGTTAGCGTCGACGTTCGAGTCGACGGAGGTTGAAAGTTTGCCGGACATGGCAGAAGTGACCCAGATAGATTAGCCGGCTTCACCGATAGGATTCCACGTAGGAAGCGATGGAAGGATGGTGTGATTGTGCGAGAGGGAAATCGGATGTGATTTTGTTAAGCACAACTGGTGCTCATAACCTGTTGAGGTGAACTGGAGCCGACAGGATTGGAAAGGATGAGAATCAATTCAATCATGAAGAGAAAAAGAGAAAAAGAAAAGAGACTGACCTGGAGCCGACAGTATTGGAAAGGATGAGGAAAAAGGAATCCTTTCCAGTCCTGTTGGATCCAGTATAAGACAAAATGAAAACAAACAACATGTCACACATTGTGACATGGGAGAGATGAAAAAACAGGGAAGGAGGCATGACTACAAGATTAGCTATAGAGACAGGAATGAAACCAGTGACATGGGATAGCTCAACATGATCAAGGATGGGAAAGCTTCAGATAAATCTATATAGCTTGTTCCTCATCCATTTCACACTTCTACTAGCTGATTCTTATACATATGTTATTAATTTATGTATTATAAAATATGTACATAATGTATAAGAATAAATATTGTTTTAATACTTTATTCTAAAGCTATTTCTGTGAAATCCTAGTGATATTATATGTACAATGCTCAAGGGGATTTCACAGTTAATTATAGAATTATCAAATATAAATTATGAATTAAGATTAAATGTAAATGCATATTTATTAATTTATTATTTAAACAAAAATGTATAATATTTTCCATTATTCAATTAGTTATTATTATTTGCAGTTACTAGGTACATTTCACGTACTGTGAAAGGTGCTCTGTGGCTGGGGGGTTGATAAGTGCAAGCCAACCCCCCTCGTGCACGCCACTTGCAGATTGGCGTGCAGGCCCACATGCCAAGGCAGATTGGCGTGCAGGCCTGCATGCCAATCTGCAGCAAGGTTGATTGTTTTAGATTGGCGTGCAGGTCCTAAACCCATATTAATATGGGTTTAGGACCAGGGCTATCCCATAGGACCCAGGCATGGGTCCTATGGGATAGCCTAGTGTTTGAAAAAAAAGACAGCTTGTCGATCCTTGTAGGACACCGGCTGGTGTCCTACAAGGTCGACAAGGCCCACCTTGCCGGTCAGGAGGGAATCCTCCTGGCCGGGGAGGTTGTACAACCTCATTGACCAGGAGGCAATCCTGGATTGATCACTGGTACCTTACATGAAAGAGACACCCACGAATTACTGGAGAGATGTCATCCGCTTGGTGTATTTGACAGGTGCCTGCACCATGTGTGGCGCAGTGCGATATCAATCCGAGCGCAAGTTGAAGACTCATTGGCAGGCATTATTCCGGAGCATCGCCTTTGGGCCACTCATAGTCCTTCTCTTAATCAAACTGATATGGCAACCACCGATTGGAGTTCTGATGACCAAGATGCTGCTGGCAACAGCTCAACCAGCAGGCTCAGTTGACCTAGTGTTTTTGGCTCAGTCGACCCAGTGTTTTCATACTACAACGAGCCCCTGAGTCGGTTCTTCGAAGCAGTTGATCATGTCCGTAGATTATCTGTCTTATCATTACAAAACCCTTGAGTGATCGTCTTTGTCAAACATCCTGAAGTCTCACTGGGCAATATCGCCAATGTGATCAATGCCGATGAGGTGATTCAATTGGACAATGTAGGAAGGGAAGGAGGGACATACTTAACACATATCCTCAAACATTACAATTTGACAATCCTAACGGATCAACAAGGAAGGATGATCCAAAGTGGGAAGAGCAACCCAAATATCCTTGAACAAGCCAAATTCAGAGTCAAAAGGGTCCTCAGCTCGCCGGCTATTCATGGGTTAGCTGATCATACGGTCTTCATGCAACCCAAAATTTCTTGGCATTGGATTGCTAAACCTCAGATGGATCTCTTCGATCCTAAATTCAACTGTTTCCTAGACTTGGCAAGCTCTATCCTGAGGGTAATTTCCTTCTGGCTCGTGGGCCAGGATGTACAATCTTGTGACCAGGAGGATTCATTCCTGGCCAGCGAGGTTGTACAACCTCGCCGGCCAGGATTCCCTCCTGGTCAACGAGGTTGTACGACCTTGCCGGCCAGGAGGATTCCCTCCTGGCCGGCAAGGTGGGCCTTGTCAACCTTGTAGGACACCGGCCGGTGTCCTGCAAGGATCGACAAGCTGTTTTTTTTTCAAACACTAGGCTATCCCATAGGACCCATGCCTGGGTCCTATGGGATAGCCCTGGTCCTAAACCCATATTAATATGGGTTTAGGACCTGCACGCCAATCTAAAACAATCAACCTTGCTGCAGATTGGCGTGTGGGCCTGCACGCCAATCTGCCTTGGCGTGTGGGCCTGCACGCCAATCTGCAAGTGGCGTGCAGATTGGCGTGCACGAGGGGGGTTGGCTTGCGCTTATCAACCCCCCTGTGGCTGACATTTATCAAGTCCAACCACTTTAGTAAACTTTCCCTTTCAATCATTTCATACTTCATTCAGAAGAATCAAACAAATGTGTTACAAAAATGTAAGTGAAGCTCATGATTTCATCTGGAAGGCTTGTGTATTCTCAATCAAGAAACTCCTATATAATAATATGTCCCCAAATGAGAACAACTTGACCAAGACATCAATATAAATGTACAATCTTCTGTTGGAATAATATGCTTGTATTCATTATCAAGTATGCTTCTAACCATAGCACAAACCATCTTGTATATAACTTGTACTAGATTGCTTCTGGAGTTTCTTCCTCAGTGAATCAGAACATCATTCTCACTCCCAAAAGTGTCACAGTGCTGTCACCCTGTGAACTTTAGGTTCTTTCATCTTGCGTTCATTGCAACAGGTTATGAGGCCCATCCGCTCACCCTGCTCGCAAATTCCATTTCTTTCTTGTAAACACTCAAAATCTCTACATATTCCTGTTCTTGCCGATATCTTGATCTGGTCATGCCGGCTCGAACCACCCAAAACCCCTCGGCTCTCATTGGAAACATTCCGGTTCTTAACAGAAACTCGGTTGGATTTCCAGCCTGGCGAACCCGTCTTGAGGAGTGTCAGCCTTAGAGCCAGCATAGCTGGCCAAAAGACTGCTTTTACCATCTTTTCTCACTATAATATTATCATAACTTTTTACTCATAAGATATTTCCTAAATATGACTTCATTTCTCTGCTAAATTAACCCCTAGTCACCACTGACCACTTTTATCTTACTCCACCCCTTCATATTCTTTGCCTTACTTCACCGTACTTGTCTAAATTCTGCTACTCAAGAATTATTGTCCCCCTCTACCACAAGTACATGTGATTATTACGTAATCCAACTCTGAAAATCCTGTCAGAGGATTCTAAGTTCACATTTTTCAGGATCTTCAAGGTTTTCAGACTCACTTTGAACCAGAACCCAACAAACCAACCAACCCCGTTACCGCTTGGCGCTTAACTTGTCAAAAGGATTCCATAGGACTCTGACAGTTAGTATTATTTCTTTTTGCTTGATTTCTCTGTTGCTCTGCTATCTCAGTCTCACATATGGTTCTTCAACCATATCTTTCTCTATAACTCTCTCTCTCTTAAATCAAATCAATTATACTCTTCATCTCATTGTTTGGTGGTAAACCTGAAAACCACATAGGTTTTTTTTTAAAGAGCCTTGCTCATAGATCTAAAAAATAGTGGTTAGTTCTGAATATATTCAAACTAAAACCTTCTACAGTTTCTTTTGTAGAAGAGGCTAGTCTTCGACAGCTTATCAGCCATCCTACTAAAGGAAAGTAAGACTGCAGATTCAATCAAATAAAATACAAAAACAAATAAAAAATATATTTCTCTATTTCTTTCTATTTTCCTTTCTCTCTCTTTCCCCTTCTCCTTCTAACTTCTGGCTGTATTTCTCCTCCTCCTCGAAATCCAATCAGTAGTTCCCCTCATTCTCTTGTGTCCTGTCACCACATAAGAGGCTCAGGCTCACAAGGAGCTGTTTGCTATCCAGGGGGTGCACGATATTGTCACCGGCAAACTTCCTTTCCTGGAGACCAATTACAAAGACAAGGATGCAAAGCCCATTACTCAAGGATCGCAACAAGTCTACTATGCCAAGGAGTCGGGGACCAACTGGGATTCTATGTCTGATGTAGCACGGGCCACCTTGAAGATGACCCTTTCAATTGATCTTGCAATCCAATACAAGGACTTGAAGCCCATCAGTACCCTCTTCAAGACTATATGCAACGCCTACAAGGAAAACACTTGAGCCAGGCAAATGGTGCTGCAAGATTTGTTCTGGTGTGCTTGGCACACATGGGCCTATACAGAATTTCCCCAAAGGGAAATCTTGTACATTTTAGGGAAATTCTGTAAACATTGAAAAAAAAAGTGAATTTCTTGGATTTTCTGAATTTTTAGGTTTTGGATTTTCCAGATTGTCAAATTTGTAGATGCTCTAGATATTCTAGATTTTTCAGATTTTTTAGAATTTTTAGAATTTTTAGATTTTATTTAAAAAAATCTAAGAAAAATCCAAAAAAATCTAAAAAAAAATCTGAAAGAAATCTATAAAAATATAGAAAAGAATGGGCATTAATAAAAAAACACGGTTTTTCCGTGTTTACACGTGGTTTTGCTGCGGCACAGCGCACGCGGTTTCCGCGTTTACACACGGTTTTTTATTTAATTTTTTACCACTCATTTTTCGAGTTTTTTTGAATTTTTAAAGTTGTTTCCTACACTTTAAAAGGTGTAGATTTAATGATAAAAACTATTTTGCATAAAAATGAATTTTGATTATTAATTTTTTTTTCCACTTATTTTTCAATTAATTGTTTGCATGCATGTATGTACCTTATTTTTTATGCTTTTGTGAAATTTTAAAATTATTTCCTAGGTTTCAATGTGTGTAGAATTTAATGGTGCAATCCAATTTTTTTAAAACTCAACGGTTCATTTTTAATACTGAAATTAGACCCATTTTTTCACTTAATTTTTTACAGCTTAATTCTCATCATTTTTT